TATTTTCCACAGCCGATTGTAATTTCCCACGCCCTGTGTAGCCGCAAATAAAAGCTACCAGTAGTCAAAGGTTAATCAGGTTTTAGTTGATTGACAACTAGGAAAGTACAACGTGTAGGCGTGTCAAAGAGGTCCTTGAGGCATATCTATCACCTGATAATATGTAATCGCCTCCAACATGCACATGAGTATTCATTACATATCGGCTTAGCAACATGAACAGGTGGGAAGGTAAGGTGGCCATCGTGACCGGTACCACTTCGGGAATCGGATCCGTAATTGCTGAACAATTGGTGGATGCTGGGCTGATAGTAGGTGCCTTCTTATGGTATACAATAAGCTCATTAAGCTTTTCAGGTTGTAGGGCTTGCCAGGCGTAAAGATAGAGGAGAGGAATTGGCCCGGGCTCTAGAAGGAAGAAAGGGAAGGTACTACCATTTAACAGCCGACGTTGCCAAGGAGGAGGATGTACTAAACGCTTATAAATGGATTGGGGAGAATTTGGGTCCCGTCCATGTTCTGGTGAATAATGCGGGAGTATTGAGGAATACAAGTCTGTGTGACGGAAACACGACCGATTGGAAGGCTATGCTCGATCTCAACGTTGTGGGACTATGCATGATGACCAGGGAAGCAGTGAGATGTATGAAGGCTAACAACGTCGATGGTCACATAGTGCATGTTAATAGCCTCGCCGGCCACATGGTTCCAGTACCGACAGCGGCCCACGTATACACAGCCAGCAAGCACGGCGTAACTGCGCTGACAGAGGCTTTAAGGCAGGAACTGATCGCATGTGGAAGCCGGATAAAAATTTCGGTAAAGTTTTCGAATAGTTTTGACTGAAATTTCGCTATTCTTACTGTAGAGCGTTAGCCCTGGGCTTGTCGAATCTGAGATATTTACACAAGGAGAAAATCCGGCGCCTTTAGAAGCCCTGGAAAACAGACCGATGTTAAAGGCGAAAGATGTTGCAGATGTGGTTTGTTACATCATTTCGACACCGCCACACGTTCAGGTAACCGATTTAAAGGTACTTTTATCCATGAAATCGTTCTAATTTTAGGTTCACGATATCCTGTTGAGAGCATGTTATTAAAGTTAACTGCAATACATAAACTGTACTTTTAATTAACTTACCTTGGCGAAGAATTATATTTCTTTTAAAAAGAGCAGCCCTCCTTTTTGCGAATACAAAATTTGGAAGCTTCAGTACACGACCAACTGTAGAAGTCATTTCCGGTTGTGATTTTATCGTTTCCGACTTTATGCATTTCATTATGGGTGAAAGATGCATCTGATACCCCACTAGAAATTTTACCGCGAGTTTTACCAATCCAATTGCACAAGGACTAGGGTTCATAAGTGATTGAGCGCCATTTTTTTCACTGGTAGCGAAAAAGAGAAAGCAGTGTCGAGTGCGGCAGAATAATTGTGGCAGGCAGTGCACGTATTCGCATATATAGGTAAATGTATCATTTATTTCCCTTTGTAATTACTGTAATTAGCTTAGGATGTAGGGCAATTGTTTTGTATTACTTGCTTGCCGATTTAGTAGTGTGTTTGTTTCCCTTCTAAATTTGAATTTGCAAGGCCTTAGAAAACATTGCGCAAAATTTATAAAATAAGTAAACGACCATACGTAATGCTTTCTCACGTACCGAGTTTATTGAGAGTATCGCTTCAAGTACGTTTATAAAAATCGTGAGGCAGGAAAATTTTTTTAGATTAATTAATTTGTATCCTGTGTTGCCGTCTGGCTTAGACTTATCATGTGTTAGCGGAAGGTTGAAGATCAGTACAATCAATGTAGGGCATATTCAGATAGTTTAAAGTGGAATGTTCAATAGGCGTGGGTGGCTTGCGTTCGAGATTAATATACAGGGTGTTTACATAATTTAAGGTATCTGGGAGAGTTTGTGCACGTAGTTAGAGCAGCTATGTAACTTTTCACACTTTTTAATTCAATTATTATTTTTGTGATCAGCTTGTGTGATGAGTATATTTTAACAATTCGCAGGAAGGTGACTTTTTAATTCAATTATGATTTTTGTTATCAGCTTGTGCGATGGGTCGGTGATTTTTGTTTGTTTTATGTCGGGGCGCAAAATATTTATTGAGTTTGTTCTTGTATTGCCATAAGCTTTTATAAATTAGTAATTACTGATGAATTTGTTGAAAGATAGCATAATTTTAGAGTTTTAGAACACAAAATAGAAGAGGTAAACCGCAGGCCTCCTGGATATGGATGCCCTAAAGCGATTTCAGAACTCACTGAGCAAGCGAATAAGAATTATTCCCCCAAATTAGGTAGGGAACTAAGTGCCTTCGCTTGGGACGAAATTTTAATGTTATATAACCTTCCCTCTCCTCCTTCCTCTACAGACTATGCTAATAAAGTGCGGTTAAACAAATTGAGCGTCATAGTTGGCGGTGATAAGGTGTTTATCGTTAACGAACCTCAATACACTTGTGTCACTTGTCAGACGAACTTGTCAATTTATTAACGAGCTCCTAGCGAATTTATAATTTTGCAGTGTCTGCCCGTCTGTCTGTCTGTCTGTCCGTCTGTCCGTCCGTTAGCACGATATCTCGATATCGAATGTACCGATTACGATAAAATTTTGCATGTGGATTCTTTATCAAATTTCTAGATCGGAGTTCGTGAATTGGCAATGTAGCCCAAAAAATAAGGAAGGCCCTTTTGACATCTCCGTGAATTATGAACCGAATTGCATGAAATTCAATATGCGTATAGCTTTCGCCATATAAAACGCAATTCCAAAAATTGAGCCTAATCAATCAACATTCACAGTGCCCTTTTCGCATTCGACCATTTATAAACCGAATTGCAAACTTTTTTATTTATGATGGTATTTAAGTGAAATTTGATACATAGCCACTTGGCATAAAAGCAAATTTAAAGCCAGTTTCAAAATTATGTTTTGCGCATGCGCAGTGCCAACGTTCTTATTTATGAAGGGATTTAAATGAAATTTCATACATATACACTTTAAATAAAAGCAAAACTAGCATCAGGTTTAAAATTTGGTTTTGCACATGCTATAGCCATACCCAGGAGCTCGTTTTCTGTATTTGTTTAGATTATTTATTTATCTCTAACTAAAGGTAAGTACACACCTACAGTAATACTGTAATACATATTATTTATAAAGCACTTAATGTGCATCCACAAATAAACGCTTACAAAATGTCTCAAATTTGTGTCGATTTCGCCCTCATTTGCTTTTCACGCACTTTTCTATTTCAGGTTACTACTTCGCCACTCCGTATAGTACCTATCGATTCTTTAACATTAAAATTTGTCCTTTTCATACCTTCGACTATCACATCGTTTTCTGTAGAGCTTTTATATTGCCACCCAAAGACACCTGTTTAACTAGCTCAATTAAATAGAGGCGCTCACAAAAAACAATTAACGTAACTTGGGTTTATCCAAATACAAAACTTTTTAACAAACACACAAATTTATTCAAAAACCACATTTTCCACGCGACTGCGTACGCTCGATATTGAAAGATATATGATAGCAGAGTGCGACATGAATGAAAAAAGAAGTTAAGAAAATCCTTTAATCCCATCGGACCCAGTTATGAATTTAAACAATCCGGAGACACACAGAGGCACGTACTAATAATTTCATCCAAATCCATTCAGCCGTTTAAGAGTTCAATCACAAACACACGTCAGAAGAATTGTATATAGGGAGATCGCTGTAAGAATAATTGGCAGTCATCAGGGCCAGAAACAAATACCACGCGATGAGCGCTCGATCCAAACAAGTTAAATAAAGTCTTAATTACCATACAAAAATTCAGTCTTTTACTGCAATTCCCAGGCCAAATGTGTACAAAAAACACAAACACTAAACTGAAACTTCACTTCGTTATTAGGTAACATACTTTTTCCCGAATAAGTGCCAAAAAACTTCTCAACTCGGACTCGATTATTCAATTCTACAGGACGTAGATAGGTACTTAAAATTCACTAATTAACTTTCTTCAATATCCGGAAACTAATTGACTTCATGGCACTTCAGACAAAACGTCCAAAACAAAGCGGCAACGGCGAAAGAGCGAAATGCCAAAGGCGACAGGCCACGTTACACCTCTTCCTCTTCCATTTTACATATTTCCCTCTATTTTCCACTTCTTTATTTTCTTGTTAAAGTACGCGACACTCGCGCACCTACGACAATATCTGTTTACAAAATTAATTAATTGCGGAAACGATTCTTACACCCCTTTCGCGTTTTTTTGCGAATCCCTCATACCTCTTCCACACTTTCCTTAAACCCTTTCTTTACGCTTTTGTCATTGCGCGTCTGCTTCATGTCTACGTCATGACTCTTCTACGCTTCTCTATTTTACGCTCTATTCTTTGAACCAATCTCCCTCCTCACTTTTTTAAAAATAAAAATAATTTTTTCTAATCAGTTATTGTCTCTTCTGACAAAACTTCTTCGACTAATTATGTTTAATGGGATCCATTAGCAACCCTGTATACATTAATACAAAGATTCAACTTCTGTATGTTTTGATACTACGTATTTTGGAATGAAAATTATTTTTTACTGAACGCTTACCACCTCCAAGAGGCGTCTTCTGTGGGCGCACAGAAATTTTCATTTCTTTAGTTTCAAGCGACCCATATAACAGGTGGTCGCTTAGCGGTGTTATTTTCAAAATTAATTTTGTTCAACATAGGAAAATATACACATATACCGCTTCATAGCGAACGTGAACATAAGTATGTCGGGAAATACTGTTAATTTACCTAAGATTTTACCTGCGTTATTTTATGTGAAAATTCTAGTAAGAAGCCTCGCGTCGTTAAGAAGCGGTAATTGAAATGAGATAGGTGACAAAGTGTGAGTTACCTGCATGCTATAATTTTATAAAACGAAAGTGGCATAACTCATTGTACAGCGCCTTGTGCGATAAATAAAATGTTGTAAGTATACAGCGGAAATTGGCATTTTATTTCTGTGCATAATCACGATCTCGAATTACTTTCGCGAAAGTTATTCAGTGAAATACCGTGTTTCGAACGTAGACGATGTACAACGTTTATTTAAATAGGGGATGAATTATAATATCGTGAACCTGCACATGAGGAGGGGTGGGCAGAATGTACATAACTGCGTCGGCTATATCCGTAGAGTCCAAGTACGGCATTTTGCTCAACACTTTCTCATCTTCGACCAAATTGGATGCTTTTCTAAACTCTGTTAGGACAGTCGATGGGCTTACGCTCTGAAACATGTTATTGTGCCAAGGGAAAGCCGCCGAAAGTACTCACAGAAACTTTTATTTTGCTTCCAATGGCGTTCAATTCCAATCTAAGGGTCTCGGTGAGCGCCGTAACAGCAAACTTTGAAGCGGGGTAGACGTTCGTCACGACCACGGTTGGAATTTGGTGCCCAGCAATGCTGTTCAGATGAACAATATGGCCGTCAATTTTGCATTCCCTCATATTCTTAATTGCCTCCCTCGTAGCGATGCACAACCCCATGACGTTTGTGTCGAAGGTTTCTCTCCAGAGCTTCGTGTTACCATCGGTCAGATTCGTATTCCTTTTGAAACCGGCGTTATTGATGAGTATGCTTATGGGACCGATTTTTTTCTTAATACACTCGAAACTGCTCAAAATATCCTCCTCCTTACTAACGTCTGCCTTCATCGCGTAAACGTTGCAGCCTTTTTTGCCTAGGCTCTTGGTGAGCTCGTCGATTTTCTCCTTACGCCGAGCCAAACCGACGACCTAATGATTAATATAAAGTGCTCGATTGTCAGAAACGTCATACTTTGACTCCCTTTCCGGCAAGTGCCTTGACAATCGCCGCGCCAATTCCGGCACTCGCCCCCGTTACAACGGCAACCTTTCCAATCCACCGGTCCATGGATAAGACCATCTTTCTACGTGGTTGCTTAAAGAGTGAGATGAACAACTAATTGTAAAGGGCAAGTCCGTACGTAACGTTATTGATTTTTTGATGACACTATTCAGATTATTAACTGTCATCATGGGAGATGAAGTGAAAAGCGAGTATTGCAGGCTATTTCCCCAAGAGGGTGGAGCATATCTTAGGATTTTTGGGGTTGTCCAAACTTCCATGTTCATATTCCGTTATTTTTACCCTGCGGTGCTACGCTCTCCACCATAAAGCGCGCATCCCTCAGAGGATTACCACATCCTCTTCTACTAAGAAGTACGACAACGAACGCAGTACCGAGGGGCCTGGGGAATATGGAATATCTACCCTCCACCTACACAGCAGTACCCTCAACAAAGAAGGACTCGATAATTTCTTCTCTATCTCCCTTAGCACCCTCATGGTAACCTTTGTAAAAAGGTAATGCTGCACTCCCCACCATAAAGCGTTCTTCTCTTAAAGCTCATAATAGTTTTTGGGGAGATTGCCAAATCTTCTACTGAGAAGTACGACAGGAACGAAGTACCGGGTATGGAATACCCCAGCCACACAGCAGCACCCTCAACAAAGAAATACTCGAACATTTCTTCTCCATTTTCTTCATGATGACATTTTGAAAAGGAAATCAAGTCTTAATGTGCCGAATAGCACATAAAAACGGAATGATTACCATATTGTTAGTTGAAATGCTCCACCCTGTATATATACCCTGTATATAATTTTTGAGATCTGGCAACCTGCGCGACTTTTAGAAGGGGAAAGTTACCTGCGCCGGTCGTCTCGAAATAACGAAAACTTCTTACGTTGCGGCCATCTTTGTTTAAGATGTCGTCGAGAGACCATCGTGTAGTTTTTTTTTTTGGGGTTATTTAATGTAGGTTTGCATTTCTGTATAATTTGTTTGTGTTTTGTATACAAAGATTTATGTTTTCTATTATTTTCAATCCTTGCTTTTGAAATTGACATGCTTTAACCTCAATACTGGATCGCGTGTATGAAAAACGTTAACTTCTACTGTTTGCCCAATTTATGGTTTGGGTCCGAATATTTAATTATGTTTTTGGCCCTTCGTCTAAATTCGTGTAAATTATCGAATTTCAGATTGTGTGTACTGACTTGTTGCTTGTAAACTAACACTTTTCGCCTTGAAGAGACAGTTCCAATGGAAAATACTGTACCAAACAAACGACATCTAAGTCTGTGATCCGGAATCTCTGAGAGACTTGAATATCCTACCAAGTTCTACAAAATCTCTTTGGTTAGCCTATATACGAATTATAGAGTAGAAGCAAGAGGTTAAGTACACGTACATGACGAAGTTCTTCCCATTAGATCTTTAAAGTTCATTTGATTCTTTTGTTTCTCAAATTCCTCAAGTAGGGACATCAAACTCTTTGTATCTGTCTGTTTTGTCAAATACTTGAGATACCTGAGATTGCTTAGACTTTTTAGCTTCTCTAGTTATCCGATTGTAAAGATTCTTCCATTTTATGGTTTTCTCCGTTTCCTCTGACCCAAACAATTTTTACACGAATCTGGAGAATTAAAGAAACTTAGGAATCCAAAAAATGATTTGGATTAAAGCGTTTTGAACAATTTGAAGAGTCGGAACAATTAGAAGAACCGGAAGACTGACAAAAATAAAATGTTGAATGGATTTGGAAAAATTAAAAGAATCTGTAGAATCCCACGAATGTGACAGATCTAATGGATCAGAGTAATTCTACCAATTCTACAATGAAGGTATATACCGAGAATAAGCTATACCTATAATAAATGTCGACGGTTGCGTTGGTTACCATTGTGTCAACCAATGGCATACATGTTGCTATGGCAGTTATTCCAGGAATATCTTATTCTCCGTAAAAGTGTAATTGTAAAGCCGGCCCTAGAGATCGCGTAAAACGAAGGCAAATCATATGACTTGTGTACACTTTTCAACCGGAAACGAACTCTCGTAGTGTTATCGGATTAGCGTGCTCTCATTAAACTAAATTTTTACCACGAAAGCGTTGAGTTCTAAGGTACAAAGCATTTCATTGCGCAATATTTTAAGTGGCTAGTTACGTTTAAAAAACAAGTTCATCAATTAAAACTGTGCACTTCTATTGTATATACGGGGTGTTATTAGATCTACATTAACCGACAACCGGTGAAAAGTACAAAGACAATTAGTTCGTGCTTTTGTTGGCTGTCAAAACCTTAAGTAATAAAGGGCACGTTTCCACACCGCGAAACATTGCCAACTATTCTAGTAAATAAATCAAATTTCAACTAATAAATTGTGACAAACTGAAGCACGGTTAGTTCTGGATAATAATGCCTGTAAACTCTTCTAAAAACATTGAAGACGAAAGTGACGAAGCATATGAAGGCGCTTCTGTCATCCCCTAAGATGTCACTTGCTGATAAAGGTTAGTTTGTGTAAAACATTGCATGCTCATGCTCCCAAAGTTTATGGTTGTGACAATTATGGATATTGGGGGAAGTTGCAGCTTGCAGATCAGAGGAATTGTTAAAAATTAACGTAGACTACATGGAAGATGGAGAATCGATGCTGGTAGTTAGAATTCCAGATACAAAAACTAAAAGTCAAGAGCTTTTACCATTGTTGAGGCGGAGAAGAACTCAGTTATTTGGCATTATATAGGAAGAGCTGGATGTACACCAAGGCCCTTTATAAATTGTACTTTTCATATTACCTGTTCTGAAAATAAAGAAAATGAATAGGTACTTTCTGAACGTTTTACAAGAAATCAAAAATGAGGGATTAAATTTTTTTTAATCCCTAGGGATTAAAATTACCTATTAATGCACAAAAATTAGGGATTAAATTCAATAAAAACGTGTCGGCATTGGAAAAAAATATTTCTGTTTAAAGTCACACGATCATGTGCTTTGTGCACCAGGACACCCTTGATAAGGGTTTTCTAAAAATTAAAACGTAGTACCTACTAGTGATTTTTGAAATAAATTTTTTAAAATTTACAATCTTTGATCCTTTGTGTGATGTGTTAGATGTTATATTTATCAAAATTTTCCCATGATTTTGAATTTTCAAGATCAACAATGTTAACAACAACATAATGAATAAAAATACCCATAGCCTTCCTCTACATAGAAATGGAGATTGAAATTATTCCACCATAGAATCGTACCCCACGCAAACCTGTTTTACGATGAAGATCCGCGTAGTGGTACTTTCCATTTTAATTTTTCTGACCTCATGTAAAAAGTTACGTGAGTACCTACCTTGTCCCTAACTCACCACTCAATTAATAATATTTTAGCATCCAATTTTAAGTTATGCGATCACTTTGGTCCCAATCTCAACGAATGCCTAACCGACGCCGTTACGAGTGCAGTGCATCAGATGAAGAACGGTTCGTGTGCAAACCGTTTCGATTTACTAAATCTTCGTTCTAGGGCTTCCTGAAATTGACGCGCCGCCTCTGGACCCTTTGCAAATTTCAAGTGCTGCCGTGGAGAAGGGGGGCCTCCACATCCACTTTTTCGACATTCACGTTTACAATATCACTGACTCACTTGTGCACCATGTCAAGTACTGAAACCCTTCATAGCACTTTGTTACATAATGGCCGTGTTTTAGCGCAACTATAACATCGAGTCGGATACACATGACGATGTTGGCGAGTGCAGAAGAAATACTCACGACTATGGACTACAATATTAAGGGAAGCTTGCTAGTATTCACTTTAAACGGTGGAGACAAGGCTGTTATCAGATTCAGTAAGTGCCCAAAATGAATCGCAATGCTAACCACGAGTTTTTGACAGAGAACGTTACGTTTGATCTAGAACTAGATGGAGACGTTGTCGAAAAAAATGGAGAGCAGCGTTTCAGGATCAATACGTTCACAGCAAAATTAGATCCAGCTCTGGTCACGTACGATATGCAAGACATCTTTCAAGGCCAAAAAGAACTGACCGACGTGTTCAATAGGGCTCTAAACGAAAATTGGCACGTGTTCTTTTACGAAACTCAGCCTGAATTTGAAGAAATTCTAAGTCAATTTCTTGTACAGTACGCGAATAACGTTTTTAAGTATGTGCCGATAGAAAAACCTAACTAATAATAGGCATCGTTCATTTTGTTATGCGGTCTCGAAAATCGAAAAGTGCATACCCAATATAGGTACCCTATTCAAAAACACGGTGCACTGTATGGTTCTCGAAAAGGATTCAATTTTAAGAACTTTTTAAGGGTAGCTTCCAAACGACACATGCGATTCCCTGTTTATTTAAGTAACATTATTGTTTTGGAACAACTCAAATGTAACACCTTGTGTGCTAGTATAAAGTATATATACTGTGAATGTAGGTAAAGTTTTATTTGAAAATAAAAATCGGTAGATTGAAAACCCTAAGCAATCTACTGTGAAAACAACGTCAGGTGGCCGTGATATAATACCGAAGATAATACCGGGTCACCCTGTATATGCGAATGCTTTAATATAATTTAAATATGCAGGATTTCATTACGAATAAGCACAGAATTGGTTTATTTCATTGGAATTTGTTACTTTATTGTCTATTTTACAATTGTTTTTAATTGCACAATTAAAATGTAAATTTTTTATTTAAATTGTAAATGTGTAAATTGGTGCATTTAATAGCTACCAGTTTGTGTACGATAAGGACGTTGTTATTACGAAAATTAATGGACGCATGTGTGTTTGGCACCTATAACAAAGGATGTGGTACGATTTCTTTTGAAGGTAATTTTGTTATGGAAGAGGGGACATAGCAAGCGTTCTGTATTGGTGTTACATTTGAAATTGGCGGAAGTAGGGGTATGATGGTATAGTGGAAGTGGCGTTTTTTTTAAATAGGAAAAATAAGGAAAAGACGGAGCTGTTCACCACAAAAGTTTAAAGTGTTATGCGTCTGTATAACCATAAGAAAGAGATTCAACACAACAGATCGGGTGATTGAATTCAGTGTAATAGCAAAGAAATGAAGTTTCCTGAAGCTGTCAACGAGTGTTTTTGTTAGTGCATACAGATCGCATTTTGACCAGATTATAGATTATTA